TAATAACGCGATAATTTTGACAGCACTAACTATATATATATATATATATATATATATATATATATATATATATATATATATATATATATATATATATATATATATATATATAGAAAATAATTTTATTGTTGTGATAAGTTTTCAGGGAACCCGATGTTTTCCTTTGGCTCCTTAAGGTGTGTTAGTGCAGGATGGCAGACTGAATGGATGGACCACAAACCAGGCACACAGAAGGTTAAGACAAAGCAACTAAGTTGAGGGCACAGTTTCCACCTGAAGAATGCACAACTTAATTAAGAATAGCCCCACAATTATCAGCCCTGCCTACAATATTTTAGTGCCATTGTCCAAAACTGTTCCAAATGTGCTTTTAATCTCATAAATGGTAATCTAGATAAATAAATGTGCTTTGGCCCCTGCCAGAGCCCTTGGTCATTACAGTTAAGCTGTAAAGGATCAGCCGGGTTCCTAGCAGTTCCTAAAGCTAATGGTGTGCAAAGCATAAAGGTGATTAAAGTGATTACTGCTCTATATGTTTGCCATGAAAACTACAACACATTAAAACATCCAAAAAGACATACAATTGGTTCTTGAAAATGTCTGATCCTCTAGGTTCCAAGGATAAGAGCCATAAGGGGCGGAGCAACAACACATCTAGGTCATAAAGCATCACTCCGAAGGGAGTCCGTTATGTTCGGTAGAGCCTTAAATTACAGATAAATCTGTATCTAATCTGTATCTGTATCTAAAGTTCACTTCAAGTCAGTTTATCTATATGGCACCAATATAAAAGGCATGCAATTTCAAAGCAGTTTACAGAGAGAATACAGTCAGATTTTTTTTAATGTCAAGGCAATTATCTATGCAGGTAGGGGAAACTAGCTAACAGTTAAACATATGAACTTTGACTCAGTTTACATCTCAAAAGGTATGAAAGAGAGCACATATACAGGAGATAATCACAGTAAAGGCTGAACATTTACCTACGTCAACTGGACTAAACACTTAAAAACTGACCAAACTCCATCATCTGTGATGGAAATTCTTGATGGCAGCAGCCAGCTGGGCCGGATGCCCCCTTCAGAATGGTGTCACAGCTTACCAGGCCAGATAAAGCTACTATAAAATAAAAAAAGTAGAGAGAACATAAGGTTAGGGGCTTAACTAAATATTATAGAATTATCTAACAGAAGAAGACTGAAACAGAGTGAGGAAAAGTTGTCCCCATGTCCTCCAGCAGCCTAAGCCTATATCAACATAAGGTGTTATGAAGGTTTTTGTAAAAACAAAAAAACAAAAACAGTTTTAGCCACTTTTTAAGAAGCATTAAAGCCTCTTCCTTTAAATCGTTTAGAAAAAAAAATGAGACCAGGTTTTTTACCAACTTTGACAAAGGGTACAATTTGTTCAAGCTACATATTGTATAATGTAAACAAAGAAAAAGTGATAAATTAGCTTAGGAGATACCACTTTTTTAAAAATAATCTATTATATACAGGTGTATGAATCAAATCTCACAGCTTTAGTATGAAACAATAGAGTGGATTTTAATGGTGGCTGTTTTCCCAGTGCATAGCAGTTCGTTAAAGATAATAAACTGGTGGTATTGTTTAGTTGAAACTTACAGTTAATCATTTCACCGCATATTTCCCCTTGTTGTGTTTCAGATACACAGCTCAGCTGCACCCAGGGGAGCTAACACTGCTTCCAGTCAGGCAGCAAAGCAACATAGATGGTGACGTGACATCCTCGGTTCCTCTTTCCATTGTAATTCATTTATCAGACGGTCACACCAGCGTACAGAAACCGTATGGCCCTGACACCTTTGTTCTCAACACCCACAAAAATGAGTACCAGTGAGTAACAACATGAGCGCCTTTTAATTCTACCCTGACATTTCAGTGTCACAGATTGAGATATTTTTTTTTGCATGTCCTATTCTGTGTGATTTAGAGTGTTATAAACAGGCTGTAATTTGTGTTACTTATAAGAGTTTCAGCTAAACAGAGAAGATGGGTGAAATTTTATTGATATGTTTCAGGTTTAGAGTCCCTGCCTCGGAGGAAGCAGGTTCTTCTAGCACTGTGCGTGAGCGGGATGCCTGGGTCAAAGCCATCCATAAACTGTGTTCACATTGGAAGAGGAAGTCCAGGTCTGAAAACATGTTTGTGGAGTCCAAGACATTACAGCAAATCAGCATACCGGAAGATGTGGATGACGACGACTCAGATCTAGAAACGAGTGACCATGAAAATTCAGATCCCGCATCCAAAGGGAAAGACATCTCGTTATCAGGGGAAGCAGGTCACAGTTCTCCCTCGGCTGAAACAAAGCCGGTCCCCAAACCTCGCATTGGAAAGAGTGCTGTTCAAGTTACTGCCGGATCAGATCATTTGAGTCCCATTCCGTCTCCAACCTCTCCCTGTGCCTCTGTCCCAAACTTACCCTCCTCTCCTCCACCCTCACCCTGCCATGTTGGGGTCACTTCCTTATCGTCCGGTCCGGAGTCTCAAAAACCCCCCTCCCCTGTTGTGAAAAAACCTCCACCCTCAGTAATACCGGCTCCACCACCTCTGCCTGTCAGAATAAGGAAAACCTTTAAAAAATCCCGGACAAAGGCTTTCCACTGGGACCTCATCGGCTCTGAGAAGGTAATAGTCATTTTTTACTTTACCAGATACTGAGGTACCCCTACAATAAATCGAGTTTCATTTTAATTCAATTCATTTTATTTAAATAGCACCTACTCACAACACATGTCATCGTAGGACACTTTACAGAGACAGATCATCCTGTCAGACTGATTAAACGTTTCTATCCAAGGAAAGCAAGATGATTGCATCTAGTCATTGACTTTACAACATGCACTCTTTCTTGATGAGCATGTAGCAACAGGAGATATTAGGTTGCATTACTGACATTGTTGGCAACAATCCCTCACATCGAACTGCATGCAGTGATAGTGGAGAGGAAAAGAAATCCCCTTTAACATGAAGAAACCTCCAGTAGAATGAGACTAAGTGTGAGAAATCTTATGCTGAGGCCAACTGAGGGTTCAAGGAGAGAGAAGCAGACACACAAAATGAACATAGGCACATTATCTATACAAATGTTCTAATTTATTAAAATGAACAATAAACTAGCACCATAGGCTCTTAAGAAGAAAAGCCATGAGCCAGTTTTAGTGTAAAAATGGATTAAAGAGAGAACATACAGCTAAGCTGAGCCCATAGCCCTGTCTAGGAGAGATACAGGACTAAACACAACAAAAAGGCCTAACTTGCTCTAAAACGGAGTCACCACCAAACAGGACCAGATTAGATGAAGCTAATATGACAAGGAAATGCAGAGAGAACATAAAGTTAGTCAATTAATGCAGACTTGGAGAATAAAGGTAGAATGAAGCAGAATCATGAAAAATGGTCCCTATGTCCTCCAGCAGTCTAAGCCTATAGCAGCATAACTATAGAGATAGCTCAGGATAACCTGAGCCACTCCAACTATAAGCTTAATAAAAAAGGAAAGTTTTAAGCCTAGCCTTAAAGGCATACTATGCAACATTTTTCA